GATCCATGGGGGGCTGTGTCCTGGGGGGCGAGTGGGGGAAGAAGCCTGATCCATGTGGGCAAGTGGGGGGAGCCGGATCCATGGGGGGCTGTGTCCTGGGGGGCGAGTGGGGGAAGAAGCCTGATCCATGTGGGCAAGTGGGGGGAGCCGGATCCATGGGGGGGCTGTGCCCTGGGAGGGGGAGTTGGGGGGCAGCTGTGGGTTCAGGGAATAGAACCCAGGAGTCCTGACTCCCAGTCCCTGCTTTCCCCCCCCCCGCACTCCTCCCCACACACACTAACCACTAGATCCTGCTCCCTTCCAGGGTCTCCCAGCTTGCCTGGGGGAAGAAGCCAGGGAGCCAATGCTGTGGGAAGAGGGAGAGCCATGAGGGGCCGGGCTGCTCCCCCCTTACACCGAAATTGGCAGAGTGCATTTGGGGAGACTGGGGGGAGCCCCCCATGAAATCAGGGCTCCTGTCACTCATCCCTGAGCTGGCCCACAGCCAGTGCTTCCATCCTGGGCGTGCAGAATGCACCGGGCCGACCCCACTGCTAAGGGGGCATTACACCAGGATGGCTTTTGGCCCCAGACAGGGTTAGTGGCTGGGGGGAGGACACCGGGGGGAGATTGGCTGCAAGTTTTCCCACTTTGTTACTTGCCCAATTTGCTTATTGACCTGCCAAAATGAATGATAATAATTAACCCCGTGGAGGGGGCTGGGCCCGGCACAGCCAGGAGGAGGTGGCAGGAACTGGATTATTTGGCTGTACGTTCCAGTTCCCTGGCGTTGGTGTTTTGCAACCTTTAATTACTGAATGGGAGCGTCTCCCCCGCCCTATGAGCCAGGCACCTCTGGTGCTTCCCTGGAGGTTGTCAAGTTCCCCGAAAACCCTCCCACGCTCCAGACCGTGCTAACCTATAACCCACACTCCCCTCCCAGGGCTGGGAGAGAACCCAGGAGTCCTGACTCCCCTCCTCTGCTCTTCTGTATCCACCACTCCCCTCCCAGGGCTGGGAGAGAACCCAGGAGTCCTGACTCCCCTCTGCTCTATCCACCACTCCCCTCCCAGGGCTGGGAGAGAACCCAGGAGTCCTGACTCCCCTCCTCTGCTCTATCCACCACTCCCCTCCCAGGGCTGGGAGAGAACCCAGGAGTCCTGACTCCCCTCCTCTGCTCTATCCACCACTCCCCTCCCAGGGCTGGGATAGAACCCAGGAGTCCTGACCTCCCCTCTGCTCTATCCACCACTCCCCTCCCAGGGCTGGGATAGAACCCAGGAGTCCTGACTCCCGCCCACTCTAACCACTAGCCCCCACTCCCCTCCAGAGCTGGGGCTAGAACCCAGGAGTCCTGACCCCCCCCCCCGCTCTAACCACTTAGGTGGACTGTGGCATTACCCTATTCCCCCCCCCCCACTTAATTCCACTTTTTGAGCTAAACCACATGATCAGTCTGTGTGAGCGCCCTCCCCCCCCCTTTGCACCAGCGCAGCACATGAACACAGGGAGCTGGCACTGAGGCCTGGCACAACGTGGCCGCTCTGTCCCGCGGTGACCTGGCCTGGCTCCGAGCTGCAATCGGCTTTGTTCTCTGGCCCTGATCCGTTTGCCTTGGCAGCGAAAGCAGGAGGTGGCATCTCGATTGAACTTGAGAGCCAGTTCCGGTCACCGCATCCAGACACTCAGTACCCGCTCTCAGGCCTGTCAGTGGGGCGGGGACCGTGCGCCAGCCCCTCCGCACTGAAGTGGGACCGGATAAACCCATCCCATCGTTGCCTGCTGTTCATCCCGCCTGTTGTGAAAACCCTCCGGCCATGGGGATCCCACGGTTAGCCTCAGCCCACAGCCACAGCCACCGGCTTCCCACACCACTGGGGCTGCGAGTGCAACTGTTCCTCATGGACCAGGGCACGGGCAGTCAGGCCTAGGGGTTGAACCGCAGGTCAGCGGCAGAGTCGGGGCTGGAGCCGGCGCAATCGCAGCTGCAGGGAGTGCTACTGCTGGGCTTAGGAGCATGGCCCAGGACCCCATGGTGCCAGGCGCTGTACATTATTTATTAGGTGTATTACGGCAGTGCCGAGGCGCCCCAGCCATGGCCCAGGACCCCGTTGTGCCAGGCGCTGTACATTATTTATTAGGTGTATTACGGTCACGCCTAGGCACCCCAGCCATGGCCCAGGACCCCGTTGTGCCAGGCACTGTACATTATTTATTAGGTGTATTACGGTAGTGCCGAGGCACCCCAGCCATGGCCCAGGACCCCGTTGTGCCAGGCACTGTACATTATTTATTAGGTGTATTACGGTCATGCCTAGGCGCCCCAGCCATGGCCCAGGACCCCGTTGTGCCAGGCGCTGTACATTATTTATTAGGTGTATTACGGTAGTGCCGAGGCGCCCCAGCCATGGCCCAGGACCCCATGGTGCCAGGTGCTGTACATTCTTTATTAGGTGTATTACGGTAGTGCCGAGGCGCCCCAGCCATGGCCCAGGACCCCATGGTGCCAGGCGCTGTACATTCTTTATTAGGTGTATTACGGTAGTGCCGAGGCGCCCCAGCCATGGCCCAGGACCCCGTTGTGCCAGGCACTGTACATTATTTATTAGGTGTATTACAGTAGTGCCGAGGCACCCCAGCCATGGCCCAGGACCCTGTTGTGCCAGGCACTGTACATTATTTATTAGGTGTATTACAGTAGTGCCGAGGCACCCCAGCCATGGCCCAGGACCCTGTTGTGCCAGGCGCTGCACAAACACAGACCAAAGACACCATCCCTGCCCCAAACACCTTCCAGGCCCGCCAACGCTGTTGCAGGCGCTCTGCTTCGCTGCCTGGCCTACAGGGGCCTGCGCATGGCAGTGAGTTGAAGCGCGTGCAGCGTTGGCGGGATCGGGGCCAAAGCGTCAGACAGGGGTGGGGGCAGCCGGAGGGGGAGGGCAGGGAACAATGAGATGATGCTGATGGGCATGGCGGGCAGTGCGCTCAGCTCTAAGCCGTCGTACCTACATGGTGCCTGTCACCGTGGTATCTGGTCTGGAGGAGGAGGGCCGGCTCCAGCCCCTCTTGGAACCTCGCCCCTTTTCTTCCCCACACATAGGGAGCCGGCATTCAATCCGTGGGCCCCATGGCACTGCCTGCCCTCCCAGCACACACGCCCGCTGCCAGGCTCCCGGGATCACCCCCACCTGGGTCTCCGCTCAGGGCCACCCAGATCCCGCTCAGCTCTGGGTGGGTTCAGCTCCATCTGGGAATGCTGGGCCCTGCCCCACGGAGCTGGGGGCTCCTGGCCCCACTGGAACGGCTCCCCCGGGCCCAGAGCAAAAGGCCTCTATTTCCTATTGTCTGCCATTGCACCACTGCTCTGCTGGTGCCCCTCACTCCCAACCCACAGCCCCACCTGCCCCGAACCGCCCCCCGGCCCACCGGGTCACCTGCCCTGAATCCCCTCCCCCACCCCAGAGCCCCATTCAGGGTTGCAGCAGGACACGTCTCGAGCACATATTGATCGAAGTGCAGAGGTTAGTTTACAGGAGGCTCGTTAAGCAAATCCTTAATTACAGTCAGCAGAGCTCCTCTGGACAAGGAGCTCAGCGCCTGCCAGATCCAGGGGTTGGTTTACAGCTCTAGCCTCTGGGAGGATCCCACCTCTTGCTCACAAACCGAAATGATCCTGCTCCCCTCCCAGGGCTGGGGCTAGAACCCAGGAGTCCTGGCTCCCAGCCCCCTGCTCTAACCACTAGACCCCACTCCCCTCCCAGAGCTGGGGCTAAAGCCCAGGAGACCTGGCTCCCAGCCCCTGCTCTAACCACTAGACCCCACTCCCCTCCCAGGGCTGGGGCTGGAACCCAGGAGTCCTGGCTCCCAGCCCCCTGCTCTAATCACTAGACCCCACTCCCCTCCCAGGGCTGGGTCTGGAACCCAGGAGTCCTGGCTCCTGCCCCCTTATCATTCAATAATGCTCCCTCCCTTTTGGCAGGTCCTCACCATCAGGCCTCTCTCCCCATGGGTTCTATCCCCAGCTCCGGGGGGCCAGATCCCTATCTCGCCTCCAGAGAGCGGGGCATATCCTGGGGGGCTGCTGGTGCTCCCCCTACCCCACTGGCCTTGGCCTGCTGGGCGACAGCCACTGAGAGCCCCAGCAAAATCCCCTGACTCAGAGTGGGGGGCAGCACCACATGGCAGCAAGGGCCTGTGGTGGGGGAAGGGCACAGGGCTGGGCATCGCTGCGATGCTTCCAATGCAGAGAAGGGGGGGGGAACCCACAGAGAATTAAATTCCTAAGTACTCTCCCCTCTGTGACACAGACTTATCACCACTCCACAGAGATCTGGCAGGGTGTGTGTGTACCACTGCCCTTTGCTGGATGGAACAAGAACAGCTCTGCTGTGTGTCATATTCCCTATAGTGCTATCAGCCAATGGCGATTCTCCTTCAGCTCAGATTTGGGGGCTGGTGCACGGCTGACGAGAGTGGGGGGAAGCTGGTACAAATTACCGGGGCCTGGTGGTCTGTCCTTGCTGGGGGGCCTGAAAAAAATTTTTCACCGGGACCCGAATCCGTTCTCACCGGCCTTGGGCTGGTGCTTCGTGACCAGAAGGCTCCAGATCCCATCCCTGTGGGATCCCACACTCACACCGTACACTCCTTTCACAGGTGCCACTGAGCGGCCATGGAGGAGTCCACGCGGATGGGTTACTGCATCGTGGCCGGCAGCTTCGTGGCCTTCCAGTTCTTCTTCTCGGCCGTCAGCCCCCAGCTCTCGCTGGCGCTCAGTCGCCGCTACTGCAGCTTGAACGCTGTCAAAAAGTGCGAGTGGAACTCCAGGTACCGCAGTCCTCGGGGCCTGAGGGGAGCAGGACAGAACCCAGGAGTCCTGGCTCCCAGCCCCCCAACTTCTAACCACTAGACCCCGCTCCCCTCCCAGAGCCAGGGAGAGAACCCAGGAGTCCTGGCTCCCAGCCCCCCAACTTCTAACCACTAAACCCCACTCCCCTCCCAGAGCCAGGGAGAGAACCCAGGAGTCCTGGCTACCAGTGCACTAACCACTAGA